AAAAGGAGAGGGAGATTTGAAACTGATTCTCTTTTAGTCAGTCGTTGTTGTTCTCCTTGGAGAGATTTAAGGGCGTCCTTCGCCTCATAAGTTAATTGTCCAAGCTTTCTCCATCTTCATCCACGCATCTCCGCTTTCAAAATCGTCCCAGAAGCGTCCCATTCTTTGCCTTCATATTCCGATGCTTCTTCTACTCCTCATGTTTCATCGTCTGACAACTCTACTCCTCGCATGCATGCATATTTCATGGCTCATCATCATGAATGCCATCTCTTCCGTTGTTTCTTGTGCTGTGTTCGCCCCTTCTACATTTCGTTGTTCGCTTTGAGTTTTAGGCAACCCGATTTCCTGTGCCCAATCTTTCCACGTGGAAGCACTTTCCCTGAACTTCTTCTTTCCTTAATTCCGCTACTGCTCCCATTGTTCCTGTTGAATTTACCGTTTGACTTTTCTTGGTACCTTTGTCCGTGGCTTCTTCCGTTCGAGCCTTTCTTTCTGGGCAATCTTGTTGCTTGTTGTCCGTCTTCCCACAGTTCCTGCATCTGCCCTTGAACTGTTTTCCTCAATCATGAAAGCTGTTTCGCCATTGTGGTCTTTCGACTTGTTCCGTGCTTTAATCTCATCGTAGATTTCGCATAAGTCATCCCACACACCTTTACCGTTATTCCATGTCCTGTTGTTTGATCCTTCTCAGAACATTCTTCTTCACTTCATGATACACTCCGAGTTCTCCTTCCTTCTCGGCATCTTCTCGAGAAGGTCCTTGATGTACTCTTCGTCCGATATTTTGAACCCATCCTTCGCTAGCTTCTTGCGTTTCACGTCGAGTCCAATTCGAACTTCTTTGGGTTTCCTTGATGTCCATCTTTATCGCGTAGTATTCCGTTCGTCGAGCTGCTACCTCACCACTGTCTTAGCATCGTAGAGGTCCAGCATGGACTCCCACATGCCCTTGAATTTCCCAGCAGCATGGTCAGTCGTTTGTGTGAGGCCAGTAGGTCGAAGGCGACTTGCCCTTCGATGGTCTCCACATTGATCGAGTCAGCAGTATTCCAGCAGCCTTGCTGTTCTTCTTCTGCAGACTTTCGACCTTTTCTACTTCGTCGTCCGACACTTGCCCGTACTGTAGGGTTTTCCCAGTTGTCCGGTTTGATCTCCGTAGAGTCCTTCATTAGTTCTACGTACCCATACTTTGATAAATGGGCCATATCTTGACCTTGTAGAACCTGAACTTCTTATCTTTCCCATCGAAGATGGGATACTTGCTCGACGATGATACCTCTACCTCCGTAGACATCTTTACTTACTTCTCAATTCTTCTCTTTCTGTTTGACAACCTGGATCCAAGCTCACTCTTTCCTGATAGCTATCGTTTTAAAACGTGTTGAAAAGGTGTGAACTTGAAGCACAATTTCTCTAATTAATCAATATCTTTCCAGCTCTACTGTCTAGTAGATGGCTATTGTTTCGTTTTCTCTTTCTCTCTCGTCAGATTGTGAGCTCTACAACTGAGCTCCGATATGCATACATATACAAGGATCTTTCGATCCTCTTTTTCTCGCAGTTTCATCTGCAGATAGATCTCGTCGATCTATCTTCCTGAAGTGCATGGTTGGCCCTGGAGGGCTTTCCCACTTTACTAAACCTATGGACCTTCATCCGTCCATTCATTTGTTCCATCCCGTCGCTCCTTGCATTCATCTCTTCGACCTAACTTCCTAACCTTTGTAGTTGCATCATCTAGACGACCATTGTCCTCGTTCCTTGTACACCTGGCCATCTGATGATGATCGGATAACCATCTGATTTGAGTCACACATCCCCAATCACGAACCGTGATTGTGGATCCCGAGTCGTCTGTCCGTCATACGAAAATACCTTTCTAACACTGCCCTACATCTTGGGTAGAGTTTGAAACTCTACCCTATTTCGAAACTCTACCCTAAATCCGGGATTCCCCGTGGAGGCACGCTCCTTTGGGATTATGATGGCAGAAAGTACAGTACTACTATTAATAGTAGCTAGCTATTACTAGTTACCAGGTACTAGTAGTACCTGGACCGTCCGACGTTTTTCACTCAGGATTTTAAAAAATATTGAAATTTCGCATGACTGGAAACGGTTTATAACCATCCCTTAACTATCCCTGTAATCTTCAACAATCCTTTAAACAATCTCTTATCAAGCAATCCCTTAAGAAACACTCCTTTAAGCCTTCGAAACAATCTTTTATGCCTATAGCCATATGCAATGACAAAATCCCTCACCACGAGCAAACAATCCCTTAACAAACAATCCCCTAAATCTACATCAATCCCTTTTTAACAAACAATCTCTTAAACAATCCCTTACACCTTCTGAGTCAGTCGGGGCAATTTTAAATCCTGAGTGAAAAACGTCGAACGGTCCTGGTACCTGGTACCTGGTACCTGGTACCTGGTACCGGTACCGGTATAGGCTAGTACGGCTTCACTATGTGTCGTGTGTTGAGATGTCGTCTATGGGCTCCAAACCGCTGCTTCAAGCCGTACCAGGTACGATGTAGTGATAGCTCCACGTACTAGCTGGTGGTGGCTGCTGTTCACAGCAGTGCCGTACCAGATGTATTTCTCTCTGTGAAGCGGTGCAGAGTGCATGCCCAGTCACTTCCAGCTTTTTCGATCTGGATTCCACGATGGGCTTCTCCCTTTCATGTAACTCGTTGCTGTACCGGTACCTAAATGAATGGACACAGTAGAATTGCTTGTGTTACGCATTGGACGGCAGAAGATCTTTCTGAGGTAGAAACGTCCCAGATCCAACATGTCACACAGCTTCAAATGAACAGGTAGCTACAGGACCAGTAATGTACCGATCCACAACCTTTAAAAATTTCAGTTCTATCACTAATGCCATCACTTTTTGCACCCGCACCCCCATGCATTGTTGTAACAACACACACACAATGTTGATTGCAACACGGCAATCCACGAAAGATTCCACAGAGCGAGTTTTGCTTCCCACCGCATCATCATCATCACTACAACCCCCCAAGTTCTCCTCTTGTCTTACGTCTGCACTATCAGGGGCGGCGACGCATCCTTGGATGGTTCGGGGCCCACTTCCTGCGTCAGATTGCCTTTGAGAAAACTCATGAAACGAGAAGGTCGTTGCGTCGGTGTTGTCGCGACAGGTGCCGTGTTGCTGCTTCGTTCACTGGCGTCGACCATTCGCCCTTTCAGGTTATCAGAGGACTTATTGCGAAGATTGTTTTGGGTCGGTGGTGGCCCATTGGACAACCAACGACCACCCGTGGGTGAGGTCGAGTTTTGCCCTTGGTGTGGTGGTAGTGGAAGGGCACCGTCCGGACCTGCGGTATGGCTACCATGCCTGGCAGCGGGTGGGGGAGGTCCAGCACCATTGGGAGGTGGTCCGCGACCTCTACCGCCTCCTCTGCCAGCTCGTTCTCGTTCCCGCTCTGCCCGCATGCGCCTCAATTCGGTTCTCAGTTTATCCACTCGAATATGACTTTCTGCCAGTTGAATTCCTCGATCGGCTGCCTTGGCATTCATGTCGTCTCGTTCCTTTTGCAGCACATCCACTTTGGTTTTGAGTACATCCAACATATTCATCATGTTCATGAGGAGCAACTGACTCGATTGAGCCGGTGATTCCGATGACTCCAATAACAACCGTTGCTGACTCTTTTTGTCCTCATCGTCACCGACAAAGGCATCGCACAACTGTTGTGCCAAAGTGAAGACTCCCTTGACATCGTCCTCCAACTTGTAGATCTTGCTGTCCCGATCCTGGACTTTTCCCTCTGCGACATTGAGTTTTGATGTGAGGTTGGAAATCTCGGCGGCTCGATCTATCAACTCTTGCTCCTTGTTGGAAAGTCCACCCTTGGAGGAAACCATGTCGTTCAATTCTGCCATTTTGGCGCGGCTGTAATTGCGTTCTTCTTCCAATTGCTCAATGGACGAGTTGGCCGTGGTGAGTTGTACTCGCATCTCCTCAATTTCTTCGTGGAGACTGCTAATCAACTCGGCTTTCTTGATCATTTTGCTTTCGTAAATAGCCCTAAAATTGTCGGCTTGTTCCGAAATCTCCTTGTCTTTGGCGTCGAGATCCTGTAATCTTTGTTCCAGCTCTGCAATTTTGGCATCCTTCTCTTGCACTTGCGTTTCCACTTCGGCTTGCTTGGTTTGTTGCGCTTCTTCTTGCTGCCGTGTCATTTCTTCCAATTTTCGTTCCAACTCTGCAATCTTGTCGTCTTTCTCTTGGAGTTCCGCTGCCGACACGCCAGAAGTCACCGCCGCCGTGGCAGCGACAGCCGCCGCTGTATTGTTCCTCTTGGGCGTCGCCACTGACAAGGACGATGATGTAGATTGTTGTTCGGCATGTTTGAGTTTTGTTTGTGATTGTTCCAATTGCTTTTCTAGTTTTTCCATTTTCTTTTCGTTCTTGTCCATGCTCTTTTGCAACTTGTCGTTGGCTTTGGTCGTTTCCTTTTCCTTGGCTCGCGACGAGAGTAACATCTTTTTGAGTGAGGATAGTTGATCAAATTGTCGTTTTTGCAAAAAAGTGACACGATCGAGTTGTTTTTCCAGTCCGACAATGGCTTCGTCCTTGTTTTTGTATTCCGAAGCCGGTTTGATGGCGGGAGCGGCGGGGGGTCCTCCTTTTCCCGGTGGTCCTCCTCCTTTTCCGGGGGGTCCTCCTTTGGAGGGTGGCGGTTTGGAGGGTGGTGATTTGGCTTCTTTTTTCTTCTTCTTCTTTTCTTCCTTGGCAGCCTCCTTGGTCTTTTTGGACTTTTCCTTTTCCGTCTTTGTTTCTTTGGTTGTAGTGTTGTTGGTAGTACTGTTGGCAGATTTGCGTCGATGCCGTATTGGATTGGCTCTTGGCTTTTCTTCGGCTGCTGCTGCTGCGCCTCCTACGCTATAAACGGCATCGATGGGTGTATTGGGAGGTGCTCTGGATCCCGTTTTGATGAATTTGGAGGTATCGACTTGGGTGTTTTCCTCTTGTTGTTGTTTTGGAGTATTGACTTGTTGTTTCTTTTTCCCAAAGCTGGAAGTATCTACATCCTTCTTGATGAATCTACTAGTATCAATTTCAGTCTTGTTGTTGTTGCTGCTGTTGTTTTGGGGTGGTTGTTTGGGTGTGGACATTGAGGGAGTTGCTAGTGCCGCTGGTGGTGTTTTCGCAGCAGCAGAAGCAGTCGCAGCTGAAGCGGGTGTCTTGGGCGTACTGATCATGGGTTCATTGAGTAGTACATGAGCATGAGGAGTGCCCGAGTCTGCTGCACCGGCATGTTCCGATTCATCCCACAAGTCATCAAAACTCTTGTTGGGTGCCGCATGGTTGACAACCTCGGATGCATCGTCGAACGGATTTTTCCTCTGCAAGGGAGACGATGGCATGGTCAATACCTTTCGCTTGGACGAACTCTTGGGAGACAGGGTCGGGGCGTGTAGGACATTGGCTTGTTCCGAGGAAGTGGTTCGTCTCATATTCGTACTAGTGCGTCTTTCGTTGTGTTCCTTTCCTTCTTCTTCGTCTACAAAGGTTCGAGGACTCTTGCCGGCATCCAGCCAAGGTTTTCGGTCGTCCGTTGATCGAGTGCTGAATCGAAAGCTGCCGCTCTTGGATAACCCCGTGCCTCGTCTCGATGCTGCCGGGTTCATTCGGTTATTATTGTTGTTGTTGTTGTTGTTGTCTTCTTGCGAGGATGTTGGCGTTATCGTTCTACCCGTCGCGTTCGATCCGTCACTGGCAGCACCACTCGCAGAATCCGTCTTCCAAGGCGTATTGTTGCGATTCTTGTTGCGGAAACTCGGGCGGCTCATAAGGGTAGATAGATGATTGATATTCGGTTTGAATAGATTCGACTAACTCAACTAACTAGATCTAACTCTCAAGGCAACAAACAAACACTTGACAAAGAACAAAAACAGATATAGTGTCCTTGACTCTTCCAGCTAGCAGCTTGCTTGCTGCCAGTCTTTCTCCTCTCGGATAGAATGCCTTGGGAACCCTCTCTATTCTACAGCCAAGTCTCTATAGCATTCCTTATGTCGTCACCTTGGATTATTCAGCATGTGGATATCTACAGTAGCTACTAGTACCCTTGCTGTTGGTATCTGATTGCTTCTTTCTTTTCTCGGGGTGGTGGCTGCAGGGTTTTGGTCGCTGAACTTACCGGTACCTGCATGTACAGCCATTCTGGTCACTCGTGTCCGTGACGATGTTTCTTGTCCGTTGCGCACCCCTGCGAGCAGGCAACACCCAAAAACAACGGCAATTTAGACACCAACGAAGTCTTTTCCAGGCTTTCTCACCTTCAACACACCTTGATGACTTTGATTGCTTGGTTTGTTGTTAGAGGGTGTGGGTTGCTTCGTGGGGATCATTCCTATACAGTAACGATCCAACAGTACAGGAACCACCACACACAACCAACCTGGAGACGAAAATAGAGGAATCAATCGCCTCACTGTTCGAAACAGCTGGTGAAGGACACCCCAAAAGTCACGCTAGGGAGTCTACAGTATTGGGTGAATGATATCTCGATTGGTCGATACCATGAGCCACAACAACAATAACCGCAAGCGCAGTCGATGGGGAGACCGACAGCCAGATAACGCACAACAACGGTCTCTACCAGATGTTTCGGATCAGGAAGCTCTCAATGCCCTCCTGAGTTCGGCCAAATCCACAGACGAAAAATACAAGGCCAGACCTCAACAACAGCAAAATAATAATGACAACCGACCAAATAGCGACAACCCCAAGAGACACCGAAAGGATGATGACAGCAATGGATTTGACCGACAGCACAGAGGAAGCCAACAGCACCGTCGTCGCGATAATGACACATCTAGCAATCAAAACAAGAAAGTGAACGGCCCGGATTACAGCTATTACGGCCAAAAGGAAACTAAATCAGACTCCAACAACAAAGAAGGAGAAAGCAACAATCCAGACGATGAACCTGCCGAAAAGGAAAAACCCGATTTTGGATTATCGGGGGCGCTAGCACAAGAACAAGTGGGAGACTTCAAATTCCGAGAACCACCCGAAGCCAGGGCACCCAATACACGATGGAGATTCTACGTCTTTAAGGGTGATGAAGCACTTGAAACACTCCACATTTCACGACAATCGGCATACTTGATTGGACGAAACAAGGAATTGTGCGATATTCTACTACTTCATCCGTCACTCTCGGGACAGCATGCCGTACTGCAATATAGGGCATTGCCACGCAAAGAAGATGGACAAATCCATGTCAAGCCCTATTTGATGGATCTGGAATCGACCAATGGAACCTTTATCAATGGAAACAAATTGGAGCACGCCAGATATTATGAACTCAAAAAGGGAGATGTACTCACATTTGGGGCATCCACCCGCGAATACGTTCTCTTGACCGAAAATACCACTTCCATCAAGTAAAAAAAAAGAAGGATGATACAGTAATACGCATGTGAAACTTCAGAGGTGCCATCTCTTGTATGTCTAATTTCTTCGGTTTCCTTGCTGTCGTGATCCAGCTAAGGTCTTGTCGCGGAGAAGCCCGTCGTAACAATCATCTTAGACAATCATCTCACGTACATCGAGACTAGCTACGCCACATTTCTTGCCTTCTTTCTGTCGGCGATACAACAAGCCACCATACTACAATACTAACCCCACTTTGAAAATCAAATCATATTCTCTGCACTCGTGGCTTCTTGTTCTGAGCTTTTCTTCTTCGACACCAGTTTCACTGTTCATGTGTCAGTCGTCTCTTGCTTTCTTGGCCAGCCAAAAGGATAACACTTACTTGGATTGGCAAGATCTTGCCATTTCTGGGCATGGACCGCTATGCTCTTGTTGGAGCCGTCAATAAACAAACAATTCAAGCAACCAGCCATACTAGACTAAAAGGAATATTGTGGTTCTGTCAAGGATCCTCCTTGATCAAGGATGAGCACAGTGCTACCGGTACCGGGACCGACACATTCTAAAGAGCTTTCTATAGTGTGACATTCTGCAATGTCCAATGGGCTGAATTTGCTTGGCATACTACCTGCAGGGACAATGCCAACAGGAAGCAAACCTCCACAATTAATTGCCAAAGTTGCTTGAAACTCTTTTTTAGTGATTCAATGGGCCCATCAAAACAATTTCCCATGGGATGAAGGCACATGCAGCTATTCTGCTGCAAATGGTCACCTTGAAGTGCTGAAATACTCATGAGGCCAGAATGGTTGTCATTGGAATGCTCGGACATGCAAAAGGCTGCTGGAGGTGGGCATGTGGACGTGCTCAAATATGCAAATGATAGTAGCTGTCCATGGTATAGTACTAGGAAATGCCATAAAGCAGCTCGACATAGATATACACATGTGCGCTGGCTGCCCAGGATGAACACTTGGACAGTCTGATATGTGCTATGAAAACGGCTGCCGAGATTGCCATTTGGCATGCCAGTTTGCTTGAAGCTAGGAGAATACCCCCGATGTTCAGCAGTGGGAAATGGCGGTTGGTTAGTTCTGCTGCATATTTGTGAGCTTCACTGTGGTTTAAAACATTGTCACTAATGGTACAAAATCACTACTAGAAGAACTCTAAGAAGGAAACTTTGAGTAATATTAAAACTACCATCGTAGTACAGTAGAAGCCTAACGGTATCGCTTGAGCTTTTGACAGTTTCGGTTGAGCCAGGCAGCACGGTAGGATCCTCCCTTGATACCATTGGCACGGTGTCCAGCCTTGCGCAAACCACGAGACTTGCGTCCAGCCGAAGTGAGGCCACGCATTTCCCGATGCTTGTGGACAGGGTTGACGACCCAGTTGACACGAGGATCATTACGGATCTTGGTATGGTTAGGATCGACAAGGATAATTTCATAGTATTTCATGGTGGCATCCTGGTTGATCCAGTACGAGTTCAACACGCGGAGATTGGCGTATCGACGTCCCACCTTTTCCTCGGCAACGTTTTGCAAGTTACGCTCGAATTTGAGTTGATTGATACCTTGATGCTTGGGCTTACCAAAAACCATACCACGGTGATTCTGACGCTTGCGTCCTCCGCGACGGACACCGGCACGGACGATGACATATCCCTGCTTGGCCTTGTATCCCAAACGGTGGGCCTTGTCGGTACGAGAAGGACGGTGGAGAGTCAAAATGTTGGGGCGTTGACGGTATTCCCAGGCGCGGACACGACCCAAGAAACGCATAGCATCAGATTGCTTGCGACGCCACACTTCTTCCATGTATTTGTAAGCACCCATCTTGCTAGTGCTGGTTGTTGCTTTTAAGGAAAAACGAAGGGGAGGGGAGAATCAATTGACTAGACTGTTGTCACAAAAGGGGGATACCAGACAAAATTGAGTGAGATAACAGCATTACGAAAGGGTCAGGATAGCTCGCACTGAGCCGTGGTGGTACAGCACATTGACCTCGATCATTGATCTCCATCGTCGCCATGGTCGTTGCTTACCTTTCAAGAAGTGAGTGGCATCAGGAGGTTTTCCAGTTTCCAAAGGGATGAAACTTCGAGCCCTAATTTCCAGTACAAAATCTACGTGAAAGTCTAGTAGAGATGTTTACCCTCTTACCTTTTACTCAAATGGGACGTCTGGCCTTCGCCCCCAATGGACGGAGCCTGAGACGCAGGGATCAACACCCTTATCTTCTGTTGCAATAGTCGTTGTTGTTGAGGTAAGGCCATGGCGCTCTTTGCCGCTGTCAATTGATTCTTCGTTAGTGAGGGTGTCAAGATGGAACATTATCTTTCTGGCCCTGTGGTTTCTCATCTCTCATTTGCTTCATCTCTTTTTGATACCCCATAAATAGATTCATCGTAATTCCTGGAAATCATGGTTGCCATTCCGGACTCTCTCACTTGGGAATTGACCCGCCGAAACACTGCCTTCTTGAAGAAGAAGAATGGCCACTCCAAGCGCTCCGGCGCCATTCAATTCAGTGTCGAAAAGGGAAACATCAAGTCTCTGAACCAATTCAAGTTCAGCGGTTTGGCCAACAGCAAGGTCTGTGATGTCGCCTTTGGAGATGACAACAAGGCCGTCTTGGTCACCAGAACTGCTTCCAAGTGCCACTCCAAACCCTCCAAGTCGTTCGCCACTACTCCCCTGAACAAGGATTTCCGTCGTGTCGAAAACACCATCACCACACAAACCGCCAACAACTATTACCGTCGGGACCTCAAGCAGGCTGCACTTGGAAAATGGACCTGTGTCTACAAGGCAAACCGAAGGGCAAAGGGTATCAAGCCTGTTGTCGCCGTCAAGAAGGGACGTGGAAAACTTAGTTCGTAAACACAAAACTAGTATATAACACAACTGGAATGACACAACTTTGTAGGTTCTTAACCTCTGGCTTCTGCTTTGAATGGCAAACAAAATTCGATTCCGTTGTAGCCGCAGGCATCTCTCCGGTGAATACGTATTGCTACCCTGCATCCTTCGTTGGGCAGACCTAAACATATTCCCGCAGAATTGCTGATAGCTAGCTAGCTAGTCTACAGAAAGAACCACGCCATCAACCAGAGCAACCCCAAACAGAGAAGAACGGCGACTCAGCGTCAAACCTGTCACCCTGGCTGACCCAAGCCCTCGTGTCTGCGCAGCCTTTTGTCCCCCGTCTTCAATCGCTGATAGCTCAGAGCAACAAAGGGTGCATAACTTGGCAAAACAACTGTTAAAAAAGCTCGTTGTAGTGGTGGAATTCTCATGATATTATTGTAGCCGGGTTAGACCGTTGCTGGCTGCTACGGCCGAGCACTTTCACCGTCATTCTTGGGTCCCTCTTCTTGTGGAGGCACCAAAAGAATACCTAGTGCCTGATCACTTTCCTCGTGGGTTGTGCGTTGGTTGAATCGAATCATCAAATCTCCATACAGCCGTAGTTTGGTTGGCCAAGAAGTCGAAGACAGTCGAGTGTTGTCTCAATGCTGGAACCTTCTAGATCGCTGACATCGTAATGTGAGCACTTTTCAAAGCAGCGTCTCTCATTCTACAAAGGTTGTAAAAAGTTCCAAAGCAATGTGCTGGGCCCCGCACAAGTCAAGTTCGCTCTGCTTGGTTTGCATTCTTCGTCCCTTCTCCGCTTGTTCTTCACTTTTTTTCTTCGCCCGTTGTCTAACCTTCCTGGAAATTCTCTCGTCATGCCGCACCTGATTTACCATCACACAACTCGTTGACATTGGGCTGCTCAATGATGTTGTTGCTGGTGCTGCAAAAGGATCCTGTCCACTGTCCCTACTTGAAAAAAGCAGCTGCGCAGTCGTGGAGTTCGCGCTGGGCATACCGTGGAAAATTGGGGCCATCACTGACGTCAGATAAAGCTTTTTGGCAGTCCTTTGGATTTGGACATTTGGACAAAATGTCATAAATGATGGATCATCATGGACATCACAATGATATGAACGAGCACCATGCGGAAATCAGTTCTACTGTTGCTGCTTCTCCATGAGCTGCTCTCCAAGCACTCGTCTGCACTGACATCGGAACAGTGGCATCGACGAAGATTCTTGGCTGGATGTGGCTGTCTTTTGGGCCCTGCTATTGCGACACTCAACCCACAGAATGCCATTGCAGACACCCCGGCAATGCTGTATCCTGGAGGTGGGGGGGCATCTTTTATTCGTCCCTACTACGAAGAAGGATCCTGGAAACCAACCAATCTTGTCACCACCACGCTTGCCAAGGAACGCATCCATGCCAAAGAGCTGTCACCTCTCAGTCAAATTGCGTTACCCTTCAGCGACCCAGAAACGTACTATCCCTCCTATCTATTTGGCGCCTGGAACATCAAGTCTACATTAAAGAGTAAAAAGTACCCGTTCGGAACTGAAGTTGTTCAATCCAATTCCCTCATCGAAGGCTCACCTAGAAACCGGAATGAACAAGTGGGAAACTCATCAACCTACGAAGTGCATTACTTCTCCACTCTGGCCAATACGGCCTCCAATCAAATGACGGTGAATCTAGGTCTGGGAGTTCCAAAATCCAAAGTTATTGCCGACCGGGGCTTTAATGCAAAATCATTATCCAGAGGTTACAAGCAGTTGGTGCCAATTGAAGAGGTGGATTGGGACTATCGCAAGGATCCCAACCAGTTCACACTGTTGTTTGGAGCAGGAGCGTTAGCCGAAGATATGAGGCCCCTCGGGCAACGTCGTGCTGAAGTCTACCTTACAGCTCGGGCTTCGGAAGAGGGATTTGACAGTGACACTGGAGAACCAACCTTTTGTGCCGCGGAACGAAGTCGTACCGTCACACTGGCACCGGGTGCTGTCATTGTGTCGGATGTGGAAAGCGTCACCGAATTCCGAAAGATAGATGATAATCATATCACGGCTGTTTCGCGGATAGCTGTCTACCTGACACCCAACCCCAACTCGAGAGAGGGTGCCCTTTGGCAGTAGGTGGGAGGAAAGGCAGTGGCATTCTTTGACTATGATTTTGACATGACAAGGATCAAGGAATCATTCACCATGGCCGATGGAAGTACGATGGAACGAGCATGTGTCAGAACACCAAAAGATTTTGTCCAGTGTGAATAGGGACGGGTGTCATAGTCTGGTGAAGCAATAACACCATCAAATCTTTGATCGAGACAGCAGAGCCAGTCCCAACCAGATCCAAATCATTCATGCGCGAGTGCCTTGGTTGCTCCTCTTTGCACAAAAGAGGTACCGGTACAGTACATACTAGTAGAGTCGTCCCGCAAATGACTTACCGTAGCTATCGCATCTTCTTCAAAAAAGTTAGAAGGAAGGAGCCTAACTTGAGCTACCATCAGGTAGTACCGTAAACTGAAGAGCTTGCGCTTCAATAGCAGCCTACATGTATGTATGACGAACTCAATCGGGGAGGAGTGGCGGGACAGAGAGCAAACGAGCTAACGAAAGAGGCGCGGATAATTTGCTAAGACAGCCGATGCTCCCGAAACGTAATCTAACTAGAAGATAGCTAGCTAGAGTACTCATTCATTAGAAAGGAATTGAATACTCGGTATTAGTAGCTCCCCCTCTAGCTAGTCTAGTAGTAGCTTTGGTAGTAGCAGTACTACATTTCGCTAGTCTATCGGTACATTTCAAGATTTCAAGGTTATCTTTCAATTTCCCGCGCAATACTTTCAAACGGTCACATTATGAGCAAGATTGGCTCGTCATTCGCTGGCGAGGGTTTGTGACACATATTTAATATACATACGACTAGACGATGAGCCAGCCGTTAGTGTACTATCAGGGCAAAGCTCAGGGCAATCGGTTCTATAAACGAAAATTCCAATCCATGCCCGCCACCACGTATGATTGATCGGTGTTCAAACTGCTATCTCCCTCCAACATTGTCCGATAGAAAATCGACCACAGCATTCTCGGGTTCTGTTTTCGAAGAAACACGACAATATCACAATACTGTTCCTCTCCTCCTCTTCTGCTTTCGAACTGCGCTGCACCATGATACCCTTGGTTCCCAGAAAGCCGGTAGGTCGCCGAAATAGCAAAGGTGTTCTCCCCACGTCCACCGCACAGCCTAGCGCCGAAGTTGTTTCTCGGCGGCGAGGAAAAGGGAAGGGAAGGAAAGCCGACAAGGAGACATGGAGACGCTATGGAATCAATCGGCGGAGGCAACTTCTCGAGCAAGATGCGGCTGATGGTGGGAACTGCTTCGAACTGAACTATAATTGCCGTGTTCAAGGCTATTTTGCCCTTGCGGAAAAGGTAAGATACCCTTCCTCTGACGATTCGCTTCCCCACGATGCTTTACTCATTCCATTATCATTGCTACAGATTATCAGCAAGTTTAATGATGCGTTTGCCAATGGCACTGAGATTGAAGCCACCTACGTTATGGGCAATCGGTTGTGTCACTTTCTCACGGAAGCGCTTCCGCGACACCCTACCTACATGAAGAAAGATCCATTGATATCGAGGCTTCGCGAAAAGAGTTTCCAGTCTCTTGTGGGTATCAAAAAGAAGATTGAAGCACTCGCACTACGCATCGACGAGGAGCAACTTAACCAATTCATTATGAACGATTTTGACCCATTTGCCGACGACGACGATTCCACGGCATCCTCTGCTGGTGAGGCCGACAACTTTTCTTCGGGAGGAATCGCTCGTAAGGAAGAACCCCAATGGGAGGATTTTGATGGGTGGTCCTTTGATCTACCCGACAAGATGACTCAGGTTGAGAAAAACCCAGAAGCTGTGGAGTTTGCTCAAGACGTTTCGTTGCTTGTCAGCAAAGACGTGGACGAGTCTGGTGAAACGGAAGACACATCCAACGAAACCTTTTCCTCTTCGGAGCCTTCCTTTGAAGCCCACGATGAACACGAACCAATTTATGACAGCTACGGTGCTGACTTTTTGAAGCATATTGCAAGCCAGGATGTCAGATACGAGACTGATTCGGAAGCAGCGGATAGCTGGGCACAAGAAGCTGAGGCGGATATGGAAATGTACTCGTCCTTTAGTCTTGGCGATACCTGCGATCCAGCCAGAATTGCTTTGAGAGAGTTGATGATCAACAAGAGACTTCGTCCCGATAGTCCTGCTGCTGCCAAGGGACCCCTGCCGTTTGAAGATGAATATCCCGAGTACCAGGAGAATCAAAGCCTGAGCTTTGATTTGTCACCGGACAACTCGTTTGATGGCGACGACGAACAAGAAGACATTTGGATTGCCTTTGATCCGACAAAAAGCCTAGCGAAGACCCCAGCAGAGTTGGAACGTGTATCTTTGTAGCGGTGGTTTCTTTGGAATGGTCTGGTTGAGCAATCGTGTTGACGTTTCTCCTATGCATGAATCTTATTGTCTCCATACTGCATATCATTTTCTACCGTATACGGAACAGAGAAGAGTCTTCAAGTTATCGATAGCTCCCTTATTACAATACTACTAGAGTTAAATCACTAGAACAAGTTGTTAACTTACTTTTACATCATTGCCAATCTGTCCCTCTGGATTTCGTACATGTACTAGCCAGTACGAAGATGGTTCTATCCCAAGCTGGCAGCTCTCGTCGGCTTCTCGTTCTTCCTCGCTCAAAGTCCACGATAAAGGGTGCCATCCTTAACCCTGGTGCGCGACGCGATAGCCACTCACGCAAACGATCGACAACAATAAAGAAGCAAAGTGGATCCAATAACCTTGCGCGTTGCCAGAGGATTCAACAGCCAATAGAGCAGCCGCGGCCGACATAGTATCATCTTGAAAGAGGAACGATGGCCGATTCCAAGACACTGTTTACGCTGCTTGAATGCGCCGCGGGCTACGCCCTCTTCGAAGTGGTAGCCTTTGAAGAAATAGGAAGTCTCTTGGAGGACAATGTGGTGACAGATCTAAAGCGTTTTGGACGGGCAGTCAAGTTGAAGGGCTTTCAACCTTTTGAAAGTGCTCACGAAGCTCTGGAAAATGCCAACGCCATCAGTGAGCATGCGATGACGGGCACATTGCACAACTTTTTGGAACTGAATCTGCCCAAAGTGAGCAAGAAGAAGGGCAAGACATCGAATTTCTCGTTGGGTTTGATTGACCCTGGTCTGGCCACAGCTGTTTCAGAAGGACTTGGAATATCGTGTCGGAGCGATGACACGATCCGTGAGATTTCAAGGGGATGCCGTCTCCATCTCGAGAGTTTCATCAAGGGATTGACAGGAGGGGCTGCCGAAAAAGCTCAACTAGGTTTGGGCCATTCCTACTCGAGATCCAAGGTCAAGTTCAACCCTCACCGATCCGACAACATGATTATCCAGTCCATTGCTTTGCTGGATCAACTGGACAAAGACGTCAATACATTCGCCATGAGGGTGAGAGAATGGTACAGCTGGCACTTTCCGGAACTACGAGATCTGGTCAAAGGTGAGATACTAGTAGATTCATTCAATCCGATCTGCGTTTCTGTCAATTCCATTGCTCATGACGCTTTATTTTGCACCTGTTCTTCTAGACAACATTATGTATGCCAGAGCAGCTGCATTCATTCAAAACAAAAATTCTCTATTTTCAGCTTCGTCTGACAAGGGTGATGATGATGACGACGATGAAAAGATGGAAACTGAGAAAGAAGACAAAACGCCTGCACTGGCTGAGATTGTGGGGGATGAGGAAATTGCCAAGTCCATTGTGGCTGCAGCTCGTACCAGCATGGGAATGGATTGCAGTTCCGTCGATATGATCAATATCGTCAATTTTACCGAGCGCATGGTGAAGCTGGCCGAGTATCGCCGCAAGCTGTCGCTATACCTAACTGACAAGATGGAAGTTGTTGCTCCCAACCTTAGTGCGCTCATTGGGGATACTGTTGCGGCCCGTCTCATCAGCAAGGTATGTGTTTAAATTTGTTGGAGGCGATGGATTGTGTGCACCTGTTCGTTGCTCACCCTCCAGTGGTTCCTGTCTTGCAACGTGTATATTATGTACAGGCTGGATCGCTGACCAACCTAGCCAAGGCGCCTGCTTCAACAGTGCAGATTCTAGGTGCGGAAAAGGCTCTGTTCAGGGCTCTCAAAACCAAAGGAAACACCCCCAAATACGGTCTCATTTACCACTCGACCTTCATCGGCCGGGCTGATGCCAAGAACAAGGGACGCATATCACGGTATCTGGCCAATAAGTGCTCCATTGCCACTCGAATTGATTCCTTCTCGGATGAGCCAAACCGACTGTACGGGGAGAAGCTACGTGATCAAGTGGAGGAACGGCTGAAGTTCTATGAAACGGGAGCTGCGCCTCGCCGTAATGTGGATGTCATGGAGGAAGTAGCCCGTGAGCTAAGAGGAGGCAAAGATAGCGATGACGATGAAGAAATGAAGGAAGTCAAGAGCGACAAGAAGAAAAAGAAGAAGGGCAGCGATGACGACGACGATGATGAAGCGGTCGAGACTCCCAAGTCGAAGAAAGAAAAGAAGAAGGAGAAGAAGAGTAGCAGCAAGAAGCGCAAGGCTGAAGAGACGGAAGAGGCAGACGACGACAGCGAAGAGGAGAAGAAGTCAGCCAAAAAGGCTAAAAAGGAAGAGAAGAAAAAGAAGAAGGACAAGAAGAAGAGAAAGTCGAAGGACTGAGTTGACTGCGCACCGACAAGCATCTGTATGCCTGTCGGCTTCATGTTGAGTATCTGGGCATGCTCATTACACTTCTGTGAGGCAGGTAGACCATGACAGCTAAGCTTCTTCCAGGGCTTGGCGCAAATTTGACAGGGTACACTACTGTCCCTTGTCCACTTCTTTTGATCCCAGGGCCTCGAATTAAATGCCCTTGACTCTGCTTCCCATACTTCCTCGCCTCGAATTAAAGAAGTCTCATTTTATGAAAACCAGCATTTGGCTCGTATGGCTCCACAAAGCACACAATGTCGTTCTGTTATTTCCGCAGCATAGGTATTTACTAGCAAGGGATTGTAGCTTCAAGTTCCAAGATAGCTAACAAAACGAAGAGCCGGCAGCTTAAATCTATGGGAGCAACTGCTTGGACTGGCCAGTCCTTGCGCTGAGTTTTACACCGGCATGCAGCTCATCCATCAAGCAACCGAGTTCTGCTGGATGATGGTTCCACTGCATCATGGAAAAGGACTACAACATAGTACTGTCTTTGGCACACCACAGTATTCTGCATTATTTGTCATCAATGATAATCACAACTCGCTTGATCTGGCCACCTAGAGCTTTACTATTCATCTGTATGCCTGTCGGCTTCATCATGTTGAGTATCTTGGTATGCTCGTTACACTTCTGTGAGCCAGGTATAGGCCATGGCAGCTAAGCTTCTTCCAGGGCTTGGTGCAAATCTGACAGGGTACGATACTGTCCCTCATCCACTTCTTATCCGAGGGCATCGAATAAAACGCCCTCGCTTCTGCTTCCCATACTTCCTGGCCTATAAAAAAGGTTCTTTCTGAATTTTTAAAAGAGAAGTCTCCTATTATGAATACCACTAGTTGGCTCGTATGGCTCCACCAAAACACAATGTCTTTGTGCTAAATCCCCAGCATGGGTATTCTCTAGCCAAGGGATTGTAGCTTCAAGTTCCAAGATAGCGAACAAAACAAAGACACGGCAGCTTAAAATCTGTGGGAGCAGCTGCTTGGATGCGCCCTTCTTTCTTGGACTGGCCAGTCCTTTGCTCGAAGTTTTACACTGGCATGCAGCTCAGCCATCAAGCAACCGAGTCCAGCTGTATGATGGTTCCACTGCATCATGGAAAAGGACTGCAGGATAGTACAGTATTTGGCACGCCACAGTATTCTGCGTTTGGCATAGATGATAATCACAAGTGGCTTGATCAGGTCACCTAGAGCTTTACTATCCATCGGAGGTTGCGTGATGTTTCCATTATCAGGGGTCGGTACTATTCGAATCAGACGCCGAAGTCTACCGGTAGGATGTCTCAATGGATTGCTTTTGTTGAAATAATGGTTTCTCGCTTTTCGGTTCAGTGCACTCTGGTCTAATTTCAAGCCACGGAGAAGTTGTCGGCTCGCTAGTAAGCTGTGTTCCACAGCAAACGTACAAACTAGTGGCTGGCAAGCTAGTCAGTTATGCAGACACTCTACATCTGATGACAACGGCCGCAGAGGACTGGCTGTGCCCCGTAGGGGCTCGTGCACATGCTACAATGTGTGCGTTTGGGTTCCACTTGACCTCGTCAGCTCCTCCTGTTGGTCCCATGCCAGAAGGGTTCTCTCGCAGCTGTAGCTGTCCCACTTGATCACCCGTGCTAGCATTTGCAATATCAATGCCATCTTCTTCATTGCATGTTGCCAGAAATCGACTATCATGGCTGAAACCAACGCCTCGAATCACTTTGAGGCGTCGACTGATGCTGGTTTGACAGCTCATGGTCGCCACGTCCCAAATGCCAACAATGGAATCAAAACTCCCCGTTGCCAGCCTTTTTCCATCGGGAGAGAATTGCATACTCAAGATGGGACCCGTATGAGCTGGAACTTTGAACTGTGTATTGTCATTGACTGAAGTGAGAAAGGCATCCGATCCATCCTTCCAGTTCCAAATCCTCAAGTCAGATATCATTACCCCTTTGTTGACTGTCGCTGCAACCAAGTGCAGTCCGGATGGAGAAAAGATGCATGTGTCAATGTCCACTTTTGGGATGCGAAAAGTGGAAAGAGGAGTACTTTTCGTGCTGGTGGTGCTTCCACTGCGTGCGCCTCTGTTGTTCAAGCTCGTGCTACCACTCGATAGCTTGCGGCTATCGTATACGTGAACTGCGCCATCTCTTTCTGTAACTGCAATATGTGAGGATGACATGCCTCCTGACGGACTTGATGTGCTGCTCCAGTCTATGTAGTTTGCCGACTTTCCAGCTTGCACGTCTATGCGACCAACTGCACGCTCAGCACCAGCGCGAATATCGAACACCCGGATGGTGGCATCTCCAGCACTTGTACCTGCTCATTGGATATTGCAAAAAAGGGGGATCACATTGCATAAGAGACTCAAGGGCAATCCAATTTCTTCTTTATCCCTCGTGAAGCCATCATTTACTTACAGAGACAGTTGGATTCATTGGGGTGAAATCTCACAATATCAACAGCGGCGTTGTGGCCCGAAATCACCAGGATTTCACTGCAGCGAATTTGACCACTGCTTGCACTGCCAGAAGCACCAGGGACAACAGAACCAATAGCTCCCTCAATCGACCATATCCTGGGGCTTGACCCACCCATGGCTAACCAGCTACCCGACTTGTTCCAGGATACGCTTCTGGCCTAAGAAGCAACGGTTCTTCAGTTGAAGAGGTCGTAGTGACAAAACGAGACATTCGTAGAACACGGGGGACTTACGCCGCTCCTGTCATGGTGATAACCACCACATTCATGAAGGCTGACATCCGATATCTTCATGGTCGTCAAGCTGAACAGCTGAGTGCAGTTGTATTTGATGTTCTGGATGCTTGTGCCTCATATGGTGGTGGCAGTATGGTAGAAATGGCGGAGCTTTGAAATCCTCAAATATCCTTTTCCTTAAAGCCGTGAAAAGGATTAGGGTTTTGCTGCTTGCGCTGCAGCCGCAGGCATGCTGTGGATCCTCATCAAAAGCAATCGAGTTGTCGAACACTGGAGCGACGATCCATCCACCCACTCATTGCCTCCGACCCCATAGCAACCCGCTTTCACTTCTCTACCGGCATACTAGCATACTACGTAGAAGATGGCAAACAGAATCCTACCATTGGAGTTGATTGATAAAGCAATTGGGTCCAAAATATGGATCTTGATGCGAGGAACAAAGGAAATCGTGGGGAATCTCAGGGGATTTGACGACTATGTGAGTTGACTCAGACTCGTCGCCCGTTGTTGCCGTGGGCTCAATGGCTGAAGACTCACAAATGCTTGTTTTTCCATTGTTGTGCGACAGGTCAATTTGGTTTTAGACGATGCCATAGAGTATTCCCCGGATCCAAAGGACAAAACCAAAATCATCAAGACAGAGCTAAAGTCTGAAATCCTGCTGAATGGCAATCAGATTGCAGTATTGGTTCCTGGAGGGACAGGTCCACCAGAGGATTCCTTGGCAGCAAAAGCTCGTTGACACTTCCTTGAAAAGGTTGGGTCGATCGATATGTAGCAGGATCGAGATTTAAACAAACAGCCAAACAAACAAACTCTCTACTACACAATTCAATTCCCAGATGCCCTTACATGCACAGAAAACGAAGCCATGGGAGTCTAACTTTACTCTTTCTACTTTTATTGTTTAATTTTTGCGGTACGTAAACAAATACAACAATGGCAGGACCGGGCAAATGATAAGTCGTAGTCGGAATGAAGCCCGGTCCTGTTTAGCATAGTAAGGCGTCATTGGACAACCGCCAACCAGGACAACATCCAATGGAACTTTTCTGTAAAGCCCATTGATGTATCCACCACAATCCAGTGACAAAAAATCCAATCAATTCCATATCTCCATCATTTTCATTCCCCGAGTGATATATATTTGAACAAGCGACGTCGCCCTTGGTGTGTGCTCTTTTAACTGTATCTTCTCTCTATTCGCGGAAAATCTGCGCGCTTAACTTCCGCCTGCAAGACCGTTCATTGCATACGCATCAGAAAATTCACTCACAGGCGCGATGATTGGTGTTCCGTAATCGATCATAGAGGGGGGAGGAGGCGAAACTCCAGGAGTCCCAGCTGGCGTCATGTTCTTGTCGAGCTGTTGCATCCAGATTCTCGTCTTGTACATGCTGAAAAGGTCCCTCACTAGCTCACGGAAATCAATGCGACCCTCTGCTTCAAAGAAGAACGTCAGCTTATGCCGGTCAAACTGATACTCGGCGTCGACAACGTTCATTGGAAGACCGCGCTGTCGGACTTTGGTGCGGCAAATCTTGAGGAGCTCTTCTTCCTCATCACGTTTGATGGCCAACAAAGACACCTCGTCATGAGTCGCTAACCGAATAATACACTTCAAGTCGGTTGTGCCTGGGGGGCTCAATCCATTTGGAGTTGGCATCAAGTCACTGATGCCACCCATGCTATGAGAGCGATAGGCTGATCTTGCTGAAAAATTGTACTTGTCAGCGGCGACCTTGCCAATAACAATACCAAGATCCTCCCCACGATCTGCCTCAACTTTCACGTAGGTTCCCACTTCCAGATTGCGGGGAATACGAGGACCCAAGACAAAGCTTCTCTGTGTGCGCTTGAACTTGACATTGTACACTACCTTCGGTGAGGGAAGAGCAGCACCAGCCGTGGGGAGGTGGTGGTGAATGGGTTGCCCCTCGAAACCGCTGTAGTGCGCTGTCATGGCTTCCGGTGGGGCAATTTGAGCGCGCATACGATCTGCCGGCATCCCGTACGAGCCATAACCATCGTCCATGCCGTGATCTGCAGGGACTTCAATGTGCTCACCAAGCAACGTGAGGTCGTCCTCATAAGTGTGCCTGCGCTGGTGGCCGTTTGGATCATACACATCTCCCTTGTCCTGGAGTGGATGTAGAGAATGAGGAAAATTCCCTTACGTGAGTACAGAGACACGACAGATTGGGAAAACAAAGCAAAACAAAAAAGGAACCCACCATTCGTGGCATGGAATGTATACTGGGAAGTGCCGCCTGGCCATAATAACCACCGGCAGTACCAAGGTTGGGTTGTGAATTTCGCTTCTGTGCAGGCATTCCAACCCCATCATAGCTATTGTTGGACAGACTTCCGTGGGACATGCTGGCACTGCGACGACTGTGCGCTGACCGAAAGCTGTCACCCGAGTGGGTCCGGTGGTGAGCGCCTTGGGGAGGAGCCCCAATGTAGCGTGGGGGCTCTCGCGAATAGTGCTCCGAGTTGTGATCCAAAGGTGCATTGTAGCGTCCCACCGAACCGCCTTCCATGCCCATGTGGTCTGGTGACGGTCCATTTCTGGAGGGACCAGGCTGCGAAAGTGATCGCGTGTGCTTCGGCTGTGGAATCATCATGGGGTTGTAAGGCTGTTGATGACTCTGTGGCATTCGCTGCTTTTGTTGTTGCATGTGAGAGCCAAGAGATGGCAAGGAACCAAACTTGTGTGCAACACTATGGTCGGACAGTGTCTGCCCGTGTTCACTATGACCGTAGCCTAATCCGTGATCATTGTGATTCCCATGGCTGCTATGATGGTGTTGTTGTTGTTGTTGTTGCTGCTGATGGTAGAACTCTCTTCCACTTTCCGTTCCAATGGATCGACGACGGGACGGTTCGTACTGGTGCTGAGGGCGTTCATCGTTGTAGCGGCCGTATTCGGGGCGGGAAAGTGATTCCGACACAGGGCCAGCAATCGAGCGCCGCCGATTGGTGGGCTCCCATTCTTTGGCCGCTCCCGAGAATTCTGCGTGTCCAATGGTTCCAAAACCGCGATAATCTGGGTCTTGAGTTGGTCTCGTTGGACTGGGGTCTCCACTTCTACGACCATTGCCAACACCATGAGGGAATGGCACTACGAGTCCACCCAGACTCAGATCACCTCCCGACGGAACGAGATCTCCCGCCCTGGGTGACTGCGAGGAGTTAACACTGGCGAGGGGTGGTCTTGCACTTCCTGCTGACCGTCCACTGTTGTCACGTGAGACTCCTCTGCGGCGTCTTCCCTCGGATCCGGCATCACGAGGAGGGGGGAGTCCACCTCTGAGGGAAGGCGCCGACTCGAACGATCGGGCCATGGGTCCCGGCGAGGAGTATGATCGATCTCTGAGGGCATCAAGTCCCAGCAGACCATCATTGTCGTTCTCTGCCAAATCAAAGCTTCCAAAGTTTGACAGCGCGGCATTGTAATCACCATTTTCATCGTTGCGTCGCCCATCATTGCGTAGAAAGGGCATCGTGGGTCCTTGGTCTCCTTGAAAGGGGGACTGTTGGCGTCCCCCTCCCAAGCTGTACATGTCTGAATTGCCATCGACTGATGAATTGGGTGTCAAAGTTAGCATTGGTGAAGTAGCTGATGAGTTCTTGGAATGACCAGCTCCACCCACTACCGGCGAAGCAACGCCCAGACCAGGAGGTCTCGACAGTTTGGTATTGTCCAAATGTCCAATGACTTCTGGGCTTGGGGAAGAAGGAGTAGATCCTTTGAAGCTTCCTGCAGCGGAATGATCAATGCTGCTGTCGTGGGCATGACGCCCGGCATCGTCTGCTGAAGTGGTTGATACCGTAGAAGCCGACATCCCTGGCGGTCCACCGTTGTTGTTGTAGTTTGACATCAAGCTCATCCCCGACATTTTCAACTCCAGTTCTTTCTGCCCGGCATCTTGGTTTCCACTGTGATCGTTTTCGTTGGATGTGTTTGTTGCAGATGTTGTTGTTGATGGCATGGAAGCATTCGATAGAACCAAAAGAAGGCAGCCAGCAGCGGCGCAGCGAAGAAGCATGCAAAGAAGCAAAGGTGTTGATGAGAGAAGAAAGACATCAACCAAGCCAGCCTGGCTCGCGTGGGCGCCGGAGGGACGCAACGGAAAGACGTGCGACAAACATTTACAAGAGTAAACGCCAGTACAGGTGCACCCTCTAAGTAAACTACGACATCCTGCGGCTAACATCAAAACGAAATCGAAGGGAATCGTCCAACTTTCTTCTTGGATGGAAGAAGTCACCGACCATGGCCCATGCCGTTGCGATTGATGCCGCAGGAGGTCTTCTATCGAGAGGGTCAACAAGCAGAAGCAAAGGAAGAGAGTGTTTTCCAGTACAACGCCAATTTGAAAATCATCGAAATGAGGAGGTGCGCCTTGGGCCATCAATGTACGACTTGACGTAGAAATCTACGCTGCGCAGTGACAAATCCAAAAGGATCATCCGCCCATCAACCAAGTGGTGTCAACGGCCAAAGAACAAACGCAACGACACGATGGTATCTCCAGAGTTTCTACAGTGCTCACCTTGTTGAATTGACCCATCCAGCCGCAATGTGCGGTGGCGCACTGGTCGCCATGTTGGTTGTCTTTGCCCTCGTCGAAGTGCTCTGGGGTTGGTGTTTCTTCTTAGCTCTATTCTATCTTCGACCAATCTCATTCAAGAGGACCTCCGCTCCACACTCTGTGGCAGCTGCTTCGAGTCGAGTCTCAGTTCGTCAACCCCCACGGTCACGCTCGGGTTGGGTGCGCTGTGACTACTTTTGACGTCACGGGAATGAATTCGTGAACAAAATTCTTACGTCATCGACAAACTTTCCGGAAGCTCGCGAATGCAAGAGCTCTGCAAAACGCTCACTCGATTTGTTAAAACATGGAATGATTCAGGGATTATCGGATCTGGCAATGTTCATCAAGACAGCTGGCTCTGGAGTGTCTGACGATGATGATATCTGCCAACGCAAGACCAACGCAATGCTGTCTGCCTGCCTCATTCCCAGAAAGCAGAGGTGGAACCACCAAAGCCCGCTCTGTTCTTATTTTGCAGCGATCATTCATTCCAAGTGTAATCTCTAGTTAGTACTGCATTGCAAGATGAGGATATCCCTTGCTCACCTCGTTGTGGGGCTTGGTGCCTCTGTATCCAGTGGCTTTCAGATCCCCGCTGTGTCAAAGAACAGGTTGAACAGTCGCACTTTCAAAATCCAAGCTGTAGAGTCTGATGCTGATCCGTTGAATGGAGATGGGGAAGAGGATGTACAAGAATCAGAGGCACTCAAGTGGGCCAAAAAGCAAAAGGAAGAACTGGAAAAGGAATCTAGTAGCAGTGACGCCAGCAACAAGAAGAAATATGTCATCGTTGGAGGTGAGATTCGACACCCTGGAAACTTTTTGAAAGCATTGCTCATGAGTAGGCTTCATCTAAACAACCTCTTTTTCTTCTTTTCCTTAGCTGGTTGGGGTGGCTGGGGAGCAGCTAAAGCGCTCTGTGAAAGTGGAATCGATTGCGATGTCACCATCATTGATGCCTTGCCAGATCCCACGGGAAACACACCCTACTTGTCAGCAACTGGAAAGCCGGTGGAAGCTGGAACTCGAGGATTCTGGAAGGACTACCCTAATATTTGCGAGCTGTTGGCAGAGTTGGGTATTGAGGTAGGACAGCAACATACTTGTTTGCCAACAATTGCTCTCTTCTCCACCAATGTCTAATCACCATTTCACCTTGTTAATTTTCCTTGATTGATTGCAGGAAGACGATGTCTTCACTCCATTTACCAATTCGTCATTTTACTCACCCGATGGACTGGAAGCCACAGCTCCGGTGTTTGCTGATGTCAAGGTTCCAGAAAGTTTGGAAAAAATCCCTTTCCTGTCACAACTGGCCGGTCAACAGATTCCAATGCTGCCTTCTCCATTTGGACAGGTTCTGGCAACATTTCCTTTGTTTGAACGGATTCCACTATCCGACAGAGCGTCCATGGTAGGCCTCCTGCTGGCGACAATCGACTGTCTGGGTGGAGATGAACAGGTGCAGATGCAGTACGATCGTATGACAGCACACGACCTCTTTGTTCGTTTTGGACTCTCCAAGCGTTTGGTGGAAGACTTTATCAAGCCCACTCTGTGAGTAATCTACTGGTTTGTTCGATTTCTGACATAACAACTTGTGCTAAACTATTTTGTGTTGTCAGATTGGTCGGTTTGTTCAAGCCACCGGAAGAGCTAAGTGCTTTGGTTGTCATGGAACTTTTGTATTACTATGCGCTTGCACACCAAGATAGCTTCGATGTTCGATGGATCAAGAATGGAACCGTGTCCGATTCCTTGGTGGCGCCCATGGCAAATCGCCTGCAGGAAGAGTTCGGTCTTAAGGTACTTGGTGGATGCCGTGTTGGCAAAATCTCGTTAGAGAAAGGTAGTGACGGAAAGCTAGAAGCCAGTACAATTGAATACCAGAGTATGAAGTCGAAAACAACTGAAACAATATCGGACGTGGATGGTATAGTCATGGCATTGACTTGCAAGGGGATGCAGGGTGTTGTGGGAGCAAGCCCCGACCTCGCTAGGCTCCCTGAATTTTCCAACGCGGCAAGTCTGAGGGGTATCGATGTCATCTCCACACGCCTTTGGCTGGACACCGTAGTCCCCACACGAACTCCAGCCAACGTGTTTTCGCGTTTTGAAGAGCTTCGTGGCTCGGGAGGGACCTTTTTCATGTTGGATCAACTTCAAGAGAACAACTCGGACTTGTGGGGAGGAGAGGAACCCCAGGGCTCAGTCGTTGCCTGTGACTTTTACAATGCTGGTGCTCTGATGAGCCTTTCAGATGACGATATTGTCAAAACGTTGATGGAAGACTTGTTGCCAAGTGCTGTACCCGCCTTTGCTGAGGCCAAAGTGGTGGATTCATGGGTTGGCAAGTACGGCGGAACTGTTTCCTGGTTCTCTCCGGGTAGCTACGTGAAGCGTCCTCCTCTGGAGGGTGCTGGATCGGATGTGTTGCCCAATGTCAAATGCGCTGGTGACTGGGTTCGAATGGGAGAACGAGAGCACGGAGCCAAAGGATTGTGCCAAGAACGAGCTTTCGTGTCTGGGTTGGAAGCTGCCAATTCGTTGATGATGGATACCCACAAGTCTGCTTTCCGCCCACACCCAGTAATTCCAGTTCGCGAAGACGAAGCTCAGTTCAAAACTGGGGTTGCCATCAACAACCGCGTCATGGAAGTGTTGCCCCGTTGGTGGACGAGATAGACTGCCTCAACGGTTGCACTGTTCATTGTATACAAAACACGAGCAAGGAAGTGACAATAGCTAGCTATTGAATGAGGCGCCATGATAAACGAAGACTGTACATAGCGAAGAACCGTTGCATGATACAGACTGTACATAGTAAAGGAGTTGCAAGATGCTTCATCTAGCTAGTGCGAACCATGTCATTCCAGTACATAGCACGCTCACCTTTTTGTCTAATCGCTGACAGTACAAGTGACGAGTGGTTCAATTGGCAGATTAATTCTCTCATTAGACTGCCATGGATCATTGTCAAAGGAAGGTACATCAGTGTGCATTCAGTTCACTCGAGGTTGGTACTGTACCGCGATGATCTGCTTCTTTATCAATGGATTTTCGTTATCGTGCGTCTGAATCCCCTTGTACCAATAGCCGCACCCTCGATACCATTTCATCCTGTCTCCTTCTTTGATGTCTAGGTACCGGTAGCCGATTGTCATGTCTTTTGTTAACTCGATGAAATCAATCAACACACCTCTTCTTGCAGGATAACGAGCCCCTGATTTGTGACCACAAGCTACCGTAGCTAGCTAGACATATGTAATTCCTTCTCCACCACCACCACTGGTCCACGGAACAAAATGCAAGGAGAATAAAAATCCCATGAATTCAATGGCAAAAATCAAGGGAGCCAAGAATCCCCAGACGGGCCATGTCCCTCGTATCAGTAGGATGAATCCCACGATACCCGACACGATCATTCCAGGGATGACTTTTGGACAATAGACACTCCAAGCTTCGGTATCTTTTAATTTGATGACGAGGGGTAAATAGGCCATCAAGTAGATGATACCAGCCACCACGGCGGCCCAGCACAAAAATGCCATGTTCAGGACAGTCCGGTTGACTTCTTCGTAAAAGAGGAGTGTGGAAAAGAAAGAACACCAGTAGGCAACAAACATGGCCAGCAAGACCCAGACCACTGTTCATAATAGTAAACAAGAAAAGGAGATTGTGAGTACAAATTCCACCAACGCCGCATGATATTCGACATGCCAACAATAATAGAAGACTCACAGGCAACAATCTTGTCGGATGTTCGGTCGGACAAGGTTCGTCCTGTACTGGAGGCCCGGGGACTCCTTACCCCGTAGTCGTCATGATCTTCCGAGGATATTCTTCTGTATTGAGGAGTGTTCATGGTGGTACTGCTTCTCAGGAGTTGTCAGCAGTGATGCCGCTGCACTTTTCTGAGATGATGGAGGTCGCGACGCTGTGTCGCCATTGTCGGTGAAGGAGTCGTATGAGTCGAGTGACGAGTCGAGTCAAAGATTATTGTTTCCGTCGGTGCTCTCTCAAGATGGCATTTTTTTCAATCCAACAGCGCGGCAAATCCTTGGCGCACTTGGCATGCATTTGGCAACACAGATCCATCACAACCTTGCTGATCCCTTGGGCTGCCGATAGATACATACTAGTACCTGATAGTATCAGCTCCCTTATCTGGCCTCGTTGACAAGTCTGTTGTTGTTGCAAAGTGGGACGCTGAGCTTCTTTAATCAAGCATAGTTCGCCCTATTAAAGAAGCGCATTTTTGGATCGTTTGCTGTTTGTGCGTACCGGTAACTTTGGCTGGAATTATTATTATTGTTGCGTGAGAGAGAAGAACCATAATGCCGGTGGATATTCGCAACTTTTTTGCCGCCAAAGGCAAAGCTTCGACGTCCAAGAAGAAGAGTACGGAGAAGGACAAGAAACGTAGTAGTAGTAGTAGTGCTGATGCTGCTGCCTCGAGCAAGAAGAGTACATCCGCCAAAGCCCGCAAGAAGATCTTGTCTCCCATTGCCGAGGAAGGACCCAGTAGTAAGGCAGGCAAGAAGAAGAAGAAGCAGAGTCGAACGTGGGACGACGATAGTGATACCGATGCTACCACCGATGGACCTGCCAACGACGAGGAGCCCCCCAAAAAGCAAAAGGCCAAAACCAATGACGACAATGACAGCACCAGCAATGACGACGAAGAACCAGCCAAAAAGAAGGCATCATCCTATTTTCAAAAGAACAAACCCGCGGACAACAAACCCAAGAATCTGAAAGAGGTTTCTGCAGACGATTTCTTTGCGTCTTCGTCCAAAAAGAGGCGAACGTCTCCTCGGCGCACTGCTAGGAGCCAACCTAAGGGTTCCTACGTTGTGGACGTGGATGAGGACGAGGAAGATGAAAAACCCAAATCCAGTCACAAGCGAAAAAAGGCACCCGGTGATGAGGACGATGGCTTTGTGGATAATAATGACGATGACGACGATGATCTAGAAGACGTCGAAGAGGAGGACCAGAAAAAGCCCAGCAAACGTCCTTCGCCCAAAGCCGCCAAAAATCCACCCACCAAACCGGTGCGAAAACCATCTCCCTTCAAAAAACCAAAAGTACAAAGTGACGACAGTGACAAAGGGGACGACGACGACGAGGAAGATGTCAAGCCAAAGGCCACGCCGTCTTCCATCGGGAAAAATAAACGAACCGCCGTCAAGGAAGAGGAAACACCATCATCCAGCAAAAAGCGCAAGACAACCCCTCGTTCTTCCGCCAAAAAGAAATCGCCTCCTCCCAAGAAGGAAAAAATCGTACTCCTAGAACCATCACTGGAGTGCGAGCAATTCGATGAGGATAAGGCTGTGCCAGAGTGTTTGGAAGGCCTGACGTTTGTCTTTACCGGGATCCTGGATCCCCTGTCACGAGACGATGCCGCCGACTATGTCAAAATGTTGGGCGGAAAGGTCACTTCCGCGGTCTCGGGCAAAACATCCTTCCTGGTGGTGGGGGATGTCCTGGAGGATGGGCGGCCCTATCACGAAGGGAAAAAGTACCAGCAAGCCAAGGAGAAGGGCACAAAGATTGTCATGGGCGTGAAATTCTTGTATGGACTGGCCAAGCTTTACAGCGACAAGGCCAAGGCCAATCTGCCCCAGGAAGAACAGCAAGTCGAGGACGAAGAAAAACCGGCGGCTTCTGCACAACCAGCCGCTGCCAAGAAACCGGCCATGGCGAATCCTTACGCCAAGAAACCAGTCGCAAACCCGTATGCCAAAAAGCTTAATCCTTACGCCAAGTCCAACAACAACCCGAACGCCAAAAAAACCGACAACCCGTACGCCAAGAGTGCTTCTGCTCCTACAAAGCAAGAGGATGGCCCCACCAAAAAGCGAGGGTCGGACACAAACGACCTTTGGGTGGACCGGTATGCTCCAACTTCCACGCATGATATCCTCGGCAACCGAGATTGTGTCACTAAATTGACCACCTGTACGTGCGGTATCTGCTGGAGTTGTTGCCTGTAGATTATTTGTTGTTGTTGTCAACTAGTTGCTGATGTGTTGTTTGCTTTCCTTCGGGACAGGGCTGGCCAGATGGGAGGGACGATTCAACAACGACAAGGCCGTCGGAAAAGCCTTTTCGAATCCTCAAGGTCCTTGGAAAGTGGCTCTCTTGTCGGGTCCGCCGGGCATTGGAAGTGAGTTTTGATTTGCTGCAACACGGTGTTGTTGAGAACATGCCGAAACAGATTGTGCCTTCACGTACCTCACTCGCTTCTCTTGTCACTGCAGAAACAACTACCGCTACGCTGGTAGGGAAAGAGGCCGGGCGAGACGTACTGGAGTTCAACGCCTCCGATGTAAGATCCAAAAAATCCATGCAGACTAGTTTGGGAGATATCACCGGATCACGATGTGTAGAAGGATACTTTCAAAGTAACTCCAAAGGTACAGGCAAAGGAAAGACTGGCTCGTCCAACAAGAAACGTTTGATCATTATGGATGAGGTCGACGGAATGGGAGGTGGCGACCGTGGAGGCCTGGCAGAATTGATCCAAATGATAAAAAATTCTCGAGTCCCAATCATTTGCATCTGCAATGACCGGCAGAGCCAGAAGATGAAGAGCTTGTTGCCGTACTGCTTTGATTTGAGGTTCAAACGGCCAATCAAAAGTCAGATTGCCAAGGCTGCCATCAAGATTGCCCAAATGGAAGGGATGATGGTCCAACCCAACGCTGCAGAACAAATGGCGGAATCGTGTGGAAACGACATTCGTCAAGTGATCAACGCAATTCAGATGTGGTCGTCAGACAACCGTGGAAACAACAGCAATGCTCTGACTTACAAGGGGCTTAAGGAACGAGAGAAGACTATCCAAAAGGTAAGCCACAAGGTGGTGTTGTCACCTTGATGCAGCTGTATGATCCCTCTCTCACATGTTTTTCTTTACCAAGGACGATATCCTCCGTGTCAGCCTCTTTGATGCATCGAGACTGATTCTAGAGGGCCGCAAGGGATTAGCAAAGGCTGACCCTGAAGCAGAGAGGGCCAGCTTCTTTAAGCGCAACGATGCTTTCTTTGTCGACTACGGCTTCACGGGTAAGTGCAGGAAACTGTGTGTCCCGCCCTCACACAGGAAGCATTCCTCTCACATAGGTTTTTTCATATCATTTTCTCTGCTTCTTCCAGGTTTGATTGTCCAGCAGAACTACCTCAAAGTTATGGGCCCACAGTTTCTTGCAGTAAAGCGCTCGAATAACGCTGATCAGGCTGCAGACTTCCTAGAGCGAGTTCACTCAGCTGCCCAGTCCATGTCGGACTATAACCTTGTCGAAAATAAGGTGCGCGGCGGCAGTGATATGAACTGGGGCCTGTTGCCCTTCTCTGGAGTTTGCGCTGTCAAGACCGGCTTCCACGCCGCGGGGCCAACAGGAGCTATGTATCCCGGATTCCCGGGTAAGTGAAGGAAACTGAGTCACTCCCATCACCGTGCATGATGGCTTTTATGACACTCACATTTCGCTTTCCCTCCTCCAGAATTCACTTCCTGGTTGGGGAAGAACTCGTCGCAGGGAAAGAAGTCTCGCATCTTGCAAGAGCTGAATCATCACATGAATTACCGAATCAGCGGGGGCACCCAGGAGGTCCGTTTGTCGTACCTCCCTTTCATGCGCCAGCGATTCTTGACACAGCTGAAGGAATCGGACGATGAAGACAGAAACACCGTTGCCATCAAGCTAATGGATGAGTATGGACTCGACAGAGACGATGTCTTTGAGAACCTTGACGAATTCAACATGAATTCAAAGGGTCCCAAGATAGGTGATCTCGATAGCAAGAGCAAGGCCGCCTTCACACGAGAGTACAATCAAGGCAGTCACAAGAGCCAGGCACTAGTTGTGGAACAAGGCGCCCCCAAGAAGAAGAAGCGCAAGGCTGGCAGCGCTGGCGACACAGCTGATCCGGATGCCATTGATGATGATGCCAAAGCAGAAGAGAGCGAAGATGATGATGACGAGGAAGATATGGAGAAACTCAAAGAGGCCTTTGCCAAGAAGAAACGACGCAGCGCTGGAGGTGCAAAGGGTGGAGCTGCCAAAGGAAAGGGAGGAGCCGCCAAAGGAAAAGGCGGCGCGGCCAAAGGAAAAGGTAGAGGACGAGGAAAGAAGTAGGAACCACCTGCATAAGGTATACAGTGTCTCTAGCACTCTTCGAGAAACTTCACTATAATAGCATGCATGGCTTTCGTCATTCATATCATCAGCAACCAATTGACCTGTGCCTCTGTCATGCAGCTTGATCATCAATTCAATCATGTCCATTTGGTAGCTCCTATCCACGTTGCAACCAATCAACCCCCATTCGATGCATGGTGAGGCTTTCCCAATGACAAACCTGAAAGCGACCATCTGCCCGCAATGCTTTGATTTTTACCGTTTACGGAGTATGTGCACAAGCAACAGCAAGGAGGCGGGAGCTGCTGTCTGTGATTCCCGTTCCCGTGTCGCTTTTGGGTATTGCCTGCCTCTGAATGTTTTTGCGAAGAAACGCTGTTGGGGCACAGTTATTATAGTAACAGAGGATGGCATCGCAGGGCAGGAATCCTCAAGCAGGCATGGGCCAATGCTGAGGGGGACTGCGCCCTTATTCCAAGGCCCTCTCCACGAGCGGTGATGCTCCGGCAGTGATACCGGTACCACTGCCAGTGCTGGGAGACATACTCGATATCGTTGTAGCCATACTGAGAATGAACTTTCCAGAACGCAAGATGCGGCAAGAGAGTCTCCCATCGTTGAGCAACAAGTTTCTACATGTACTGCGTCCATTGCACTTCTATGCCGGTAGCTAGTTAGCTCCATTTCTTTATTTTCATTTCAAATAGGTTTCTATCCATCGTTTGCATTCTTCGTGTGTAAAGCCCATGTGATCACCATTGAAGGACTCGAATGCATTCTTTCCTGCTTCTTGCGCAGTTTTTAACCCAAACAAATCCTTCTGGTACCATTCGGTTTGATTCATGAGGAGCATGTGGTTGAATGGGTCTTTTGGATCCGGTGCCCCCCAGTGCTCCCCTTCTTTGGGCCACACTGTGGTTTCTTGTTCTGCCAGGACCCATACAAACTTTTCCGTTTTCAGCCAATTCTCCTTGATGGTTTCGTTGACGTGAAAGCCATCATTGTTCCATCGAGCCAATGTACTGTAGGTCTGGTATGCCTTTCTCTCTACTGGTCTAGGGTCTCTCCAATATCCCGACTGGAACGAGTGTTGTTGTGCAAATGTGGTGTATGCACGCTTGCTAGCCATTTCCATGAGCAGCTCGCACATGTTTTGAGAGATAGTGCTCAAGCGCTTCTTGGGAATGCATTTGGGTACGGCAGCAATCCCAGCATTTACTCCATTGACAGAGATAAATTTCTTGACGGGCGGATCATTGAATTGCTTGATATATCCAGCTAGCACGCAGTTGCCTTGAGACATGCCAATGGCATGGAATCCATTTGCCAACTTGGGGTCTGCTCTGACTCTGGAAGCAAACTCTGCCACGTTCCAGTCCATGGACTTAAAGTATCCATTGAGAGTGTCTGATGTCTTGGAATCTCCAGTGGGCACACATCTTCCATAAACCCCTCCCAGCACTGAGCTGGCAAACTTGGTGTAGGAGATCATGCCAGGATTGAAACAACTGTCGTCGATGCCATGAGTGACGACCACTGGAACGGCATCTTCGCCCAACCTTCTCCTTTCGTCTGCTTCATCGTCGAGTTCCAGAAGATGTTGAGTATCAATGGGTTCCATTATCATGCCAGTTTCTGTTCCGAATTGTTGGATTTCAGCCGCCAGAACATCCGGTTCCGAATTGACACGGTCTATACAGGAACACGTCTCCTCTGGTTTAGAGGCGAGATGGCACTTAAGGCGAGACTGGCCGGGCGAGAGTGGAAAGGAGAGCCAACGGCTCGGAACACGCGAGACCGGCCAGGCGAGACTTAAGTGACAGCGAGACTCAACCAGCGGAGACGTGTTCCTGTTGGAACCAGTTGAGAAGCCCACCCTAAGTAACAGAAAGCGCCAGTTTTGTGACCGTTAACATGTCACACTCCAGACTGAGTCGGGACATGTCTCCAAAACTTCAACCTGTGTAGCAGATGTACCAGAGGCTACACAGACTGCACCAATTTCTTCGAGACGGGTTCCATCATGCGGCAGAGAACGGGATGCCTCAGGCGTTCCTCGTCGTTGCATTCATTGGCGCCGCCAGCGAGATGTATGGTTGCAAACCAGATTCCAGCAATAGCCAAGACAGCGGTAGACTGACAACGGAAGAAACTCATCGTCATGTTGTTTACGGTTTGTGAGAGAGTGCTCAAGGATGCTTTCTCGAAATTTGTGTCAAGACCGGCGGCTTCGCCCTTCGATGATTTGTTTGTTTCGTGCAATCACGAGTATTCGGATCTTTTTTGAGTCACGCAAAAAGATACTTTTTGCCTTTTGGCAGTTTTGCATTCTCCCGACTAGCTAGCTAGTCACTACAGTAGCCAGGTTGTCTGAGACGGAGAGAAAGAGGAAGGCATCAGGTAATAAGGAGACCATGGCAGAAGAGGAATCCGATTTGCAGGATAACGACTATCCAACTCGTTCTGGCAAGAGGCCGCGGTTGAGTGATTTTGACTTGACGATTGTTCTTCACTGGGACGACGAAGCTCAAATGAAACGAAGTTTCCGCTCATTCACGAACAAGGAATATCCAAGCTATGTACAGTCGTATTCCTGGTCCATGTCCAAACTGAGCAATAGTGTGGACAATATGTTGGAAAGCGAGTAGAAAACGAATGGCGGAGGTGGCCAAACTAGCTTTGTCTCCACCGTTGAAGGAATATTCAGGGCTGTGGAGGGTTCCGACGAAGTTAACAGTTGAGGTGCCAGAACCGAAGTGGGCGGAGACCGGTATATGGTTGATTAGTCGACGATCATAATGACGAATGAGCCATTTTCGAGCAACGCGATGAACGACGGAAACCTGGTGGTCTCGTGACTTGTCCACACAGCCAGAATTGCAAACTATCCGCCCAATGCGCCATGGATTCCAGTCGATGAATGTGCCAAGGGAACGCTGCCAAGAATCGAATCTAATACGGTGAGATGCATTGTTGAGGATGGAAGTGGGCGCACACGGAATGCTGTGCCGGTGCCCTTCATGCCATGACGAAGAGAACCTAACACGTCAGCACCAGTAACGAAGATGGACTCCTCTCCAAAATCCTTTAGAAGGAATGAACAACTTGAAAAGATCTACGTTCAACATTGCTTTCACGCGCGTCTTGCTTGCTGCTTATTCGCCTGCTTGTTCCCTTCCCGGCTCCCATTCTTAAACCTCAAGACAAGGTATGGAATGAGGAACTAACTTTACACACGACGTGCTACATTACGACTTGCAAGGTCTGGCGCAACTGTACATGTATGTGACACGCTCAGTTCTGCTTCGCGAGAAGTCGTAGATTGCATGATGTACAGAATGCTCAAAAACTCGTTGCTTCAAACCGCGCCCCGTTGCCTCCGTACATTTCGAATCTCTTCCCCACACGGAACGACAGGACTGGACAAATCTACCCCTTCGGTTTCCTTCGAGTTTTCTTGGTCTTGACTTTCGTGAAGCCTTCTTTCTGCTCCTGCATTGCGCTCTCCATACCCGCCCATCGCGAAAGACCAGTCTTTCGCTGGTAGAACAGAAGGTAAGCGCCACCGGTCACGGCTGCTTCACCAGAGGTTCTGCCAATGTGGGAATCGTTACAACGGTACCACATGCCATCGACGCTGTTCCGGACTGTTGCGGTGTAATGGCCGCTGTTCGCAGTGGTCCCCACGTGCTCACTTACTCCAATGAGCTTGTAGATTGGAGGTGCGTCCTTGTCGTACGGACCCAAAACAAACTTAGTCATGTCAATCGTTTCGATGGGAAAGTCTACCTTGTAATCAATCTTTGATCGAACGACCTGTCCACTCTGGGCGCATGTGTTGAAGGTAAATCGTTTCAGGTGCAGGATTAGGATGTCAGGAACGGACCAAACCGCAATCATTTTTAAAGCACAGACGTGTTTCTTGCACCTGGGGCAATACCAGGCGTTCATCTCATCAAGTTGCTCGCCTTCCATGAACTGCTCTATGCAGTCTTCCAGCCTCAGATTGGTTTTGTCCTTTGTCTGCGGGAGCGGCAGCGAAATGGAAGAATAAACGTCAAACTTGATGCTTTCGCGACCACACACAGGGCAAGTCAAATGACTACGGTGCATTCCTTGGCATCGGTCCACAATCATGCTGTCGTGCCGGAGCAAATGCTTCTTCCAGGATTCCATGGCGGCAACTTCGTCTTCCATGCCAAATCCTTCCAATTCTTCAACGTAGGGTTTCACTTTGACTTTGTTCAGGTCTTCGTGCAGTCCATCCATCAAAAACTGGCAGAACTCATGGCTATCATGCTGTAGGAAGTTTCACGGATACAATCGTCAGCGACACAAAGATCACACAGCGGACTTGCCACTTTCTCAAACGCAATCCATTCCCCGTCTTACCTGATACGAATTGTCGAATTGTGGGGCAAAGTTTGCCACCGTTTGTTTCAACACCCTGGGTACAAGCACAGAATATTCTCCTCCCCACATTTTCTTTTGAAGCGATGCATAAGCAGCCGCAACGTGCCCTCCACTCCCAAGCGGGTTTTTCTTGTTGATGTCGGACAGGTACCAATCTTTTAAGAAGTACGGTCTCAGCGGTTCCACGTGATTTAAGCACTGCACGATGGAATTCAAAAAGCAAGAGTTCCCCAGATTGTGCAAACCAACAGAGCCAGGTGCCGGGGGTACTCCTCGAAGAGACTCGCGAACAAATCCAGCCCCATGCAAATTGTTGTTCTTCATAATCTCGACTGGTTTCCTTCTTGGGTCGAAATCGTAGTTCAGGGTAGCTGGATGGTTGCTGGGGACACCAATGTTTTTAAGATGCGTTCCGATCTCGCAGATTTCTTCACCGTAAAGATTGGTCCACCGAAGAAAGGGATCTTGTAAATCTCCCCCATCGTCACCAACCGCATTGGGTGAAAGCGCTTTCCGTGCACGTTCTTCGCTGACTTCCACGAGAATCTAAAATGGATGTTGATGTTGTGTTAGTTAGTGCCGTGGCAACAGGAAGAAGGCAATGTACCAAGCATCGCTAACCTACCTGTTGAATTTGTTTGAGGAGGAGGATTTCCCCCTTTTCATGCCCTTCAAACTCGTGCTTCTCTAGTTCAGCTCCGCAGGTCAGCGGTCTCACCATATCGGTTGGTTTACCAACTTTCTTTACTTCCCCGCGATACCATCGCGGCCTCGTCGCCAGAGAGGACGAATCTCTCACTTCAATTATATCTCCCACTCGTATTCTTTCACGCCATCTGGCAGTCTTGGTCCACAGAGGACAAGGTTCTTGGAGCCTCTGATGATGATGATTTGGGGAAGCCGCATTTCGAGTAAGAATCCTGGACTCGATTCGATTGTAAGCTGGCTGACGGAGTACCCGTACTAAGCAACTTACCTGCATGATTCCTTCTACTGCCTTTCCATTTCTCCGTCTTTTCAGGGTCGAATCCCACCTCGAAGCCCAACCCAAATAGTGGACTGTCACAGTGTCCTCCGCCAGATCGCAAACAACCGATTCGTACCACTTGCCTGAACTATCCTGAGCATCCACAAAGTCTCCAATCTGAATCAAATAACCGGAAGAGGTGAGCATACAGCTCAACACACATTTCGTGACAACCGACAGCTTCCAACACTTACCTTGATTCGATTTTCAAATTTCAACGATTGCCTTGGCCACTCGGATAACGAAGTCTTTCTTGTTTCCACTAGCACTTTTAACTGTGTATGCGATGGATCCGCTTGATGTGTGGAAAGCCACTCTCCCAAAGAGATGTGTCGTTTTCGTACATTCACCGAGGTAGCATCCTCGTCGGCTGGTGTCGGTGCCTTTTCCACCACTTCGAGATCTTCCAAATGCACCACTTCGTATCGGGCCGTTTGAACCGTCATTCGCTGACTCCAGATTCGCACACAGGTAGATGCCTTTTTGGGAGCTGTTACTTTCATGAGTGATTGCAAAGTATGAAAGGCGGATTCATCTTGCGAGACGAGGACAAAGCCATCGTGACTTTCGGCGCCCGAAGGCGACATAGGCGGTTGCAACTGTTCCTGGGAGACAATGGAATAGCAAACCTTGATTGGGTGCACCTCTACTGCTGGCATGAGTTGTTGTGCCGCCTGTATTCGTTGTTCTTCCTGCATGAGCCGTTCCATCAAGTCTTTGGGTTCCTCGTTGTTGACGACTAGGTTTGCTGGTTGTAGAATAATCTTTCGTCGAAACTCGACGGGACGGAGCGTGGGATGGGAGCCAGAATTCTGTTGTGAATTGGTGGGATATCCGTTTTGATGGTGATGAATCAAGTTGCCAAGTCCTGATTCGAAGGGTTGGAACAGGACCGTGTAGCCGTCTTCACAAATGACACCATGTACTGCACGAAGGGTCTGCAGGAAAGAAAGCAAAGCAAAGCAAAAAATGGTGCAGTGAGCACATTGCAAAGAAAACTGGAGTGACAGGAATTATACCTTGCTTGACTGTCACGCACCTCGTAGAATACCTCAGGAACAGCACAACTCCTGTACTCCGAATTGCCGTTATCACCATTGATGGCATGATTATTGCTGGCAGATAAGACAGCATCTAAATAACCTCCAGTCTTTTTATGGCTGGGTAGGCTGGTAGCGCGTCTGAGGGCCGACGGTGTGTAGTCGTCGGCTGCATTAGCAACGGAAGCCGTACCCGAGGACGGCTGCACCAATACAGAAGCGTCGGGCCTCAGTAATAACGGATGCCCCTGCATCGAAAGCTCATTGGCATTGATGGGACCAGGATTTGCGTATTGACTATCTTGATTGGGAGGAGCCAGACTGTGTCGAAGGGCAGCCAATCGTAGCACTTCCTTGGTGCGCTCCTTTTCTCCAGGTCCCACGGCTTGGCAGTACGCCCAATTGAGCCAGTTTTGGAGATACTGGGGTGTCATCAAGTAGACATTGTGTGGTGGTACCAACGGTCCAGTTAAAAGCTGGAGAGAAGCTGTCAGGACCATAGAGCTGGGTGCAGGTTCCGTCAAATGTCGAAGGTGCTCAGATGTCCGAACTGGGTTACTCAGTGCAGCTGCTGCCGTGGAGCCTTGATGCGTCTTTTGGCTGATCGTGGTGGTATTCGATGAATCCATCGGAGATGGTCCTCCCGTCGCTGTCGTAGTGGAAACAGACGGGTTGGCAACTGTCGTCATTGTCCGAAACGATGACCAAGTTTCCACCGCTTGTGAAAGAGTGCCTGAAGGATCCCAACACAAAGATGCCCCACAGTCGGCTACTGGAATCGCTGCGATTATTGTGGATGGTGATGGAAGAGTAAGGATTCAGACAGTCGTATTCAACTATTAACTATTGCAGATCTTGGACGAACAAATGAGAGATGTGTGCTGTTGCTGCATGGATGTCGACGATCGAGTACTAGTACTACTAGCGGAGCAGAAGTGGATGGTGCGGCGGCTTTAGCGCCAACGGACAGAAATAACGGTTTTGGCGATGTAAAGATTGCAGAGCTGCGAAATGCTTGCTTCTCAAAGCATCCTTCCGGAGTCTTGGACTCTTCAAGTGTTGTCGGTTGAAGGCCAGACCTTATAGGTAGTTCTGGTAGTTCTGGTAGTTCTGGTAGTTCTGATCCTTTCAGGCTAAGTCTAATGTCCGCACAAGGGTGGAAATTTTGGGTCATGACTTGAGTTTTTGAGATTTGACTCAAGTCAATACTCAAGTCAGCACTCAAGAGAACCCCTCCTGTCAACACCGCAACATGGTACCACTAGAGTGATCTGCACATTAAGACCGACCATTCCGCGGAATATTCTCTTCAGGGCTGGATATCGAACTGGCAGTGTTAAGTAGGGGCATCCATAGAGCACATGTAGTTGAGTATGCATAAATTTCGCAACTTCATAGTGTACTTATTGGTGGAGTTATGGACAGTTGAAGATTTCACCCTGTCTTCAGCGAATTCTTTTTCCCTGCAGATTAAGACCAAATGACGTCACACGTAGCCTCTGGTACTGAGTCTACGTAGGATCCTACTGTACCAGTACCGTGCTCTATCGAGGGGAAAACTAGGTCTCGAAGCACATGATAGGCACCTCTATTGAAGCACCTCTAGAGCTCTATCGCACTCCTTCTTCCTCTTGGATACATACTGTACGTATACTTTGTACCTCTATGGTTCGAAGCATCTCTATCGTTCGAAGCACCTCTATCCTTCGAAGCACCTCTATCATTCGAAGCACCTCTATCATTCGAAGCACCTCTTGTCTACCTAATTGACAATCCTTCCTTCCTCTACGGCACTGCCTCCCCTATGGACACTGCTTGCTTCCTTTATCGACACTGCTTCCTCTATCGACACTGCCAACACGGCTTCAGCAATAAACAGTTCGTAGCTAGTAGTAGCTAGCTAGAGTTCTAGTAGTAGCTAGTTAGGTCTATATATAAAAAGTACTAGTTTTAGGCAGACTACCTATCTAGTCCGGAGGACCTTTGTCAACGCTGGTACGAATCGAGCCCTAGGGCCCAAGCAACTGAGTCGTTTATGTGAGTGGTCGCACGACACGAGGGGAATAGCATTCAGTTTCATTGAAACAAGAGGATGTACCTCATAGAAGCACGATGGTGACTAGCTGACTAGTCTACGCTCGTCTTTCACCTCTGTCCCCAACGAGAGGGGATAGGTCCTTGTTTCTCCACTATCACAGTGAGTGCCTCCTCGTGGAGTGACCGGGGGCGCAGTGGCCTAATCCGGATTAAGACTAAAATGTGTGATCATGCAATACACGGCTCTTAGCCTTATTCGCGACTCGATCCTAGATAGGTTTGAGTTCGACTCATGACTGAGTCTCTCGTGAATAGTCATTTGAGACAGGGTTCTCAATGACCGCTCTAGTCATACTAGGTTGATGATGAAACATCGCTCTAGATATTTAGCCAGCGTGGAGTACTTCCACGCTACTAGATCCATGCTAGACGAATCTTCCACGCGTTCCGTTTTAGGATCGTGGAGATGCGTAGGATTACTACTGCAACCTACTCTATCACACTTTATAGTCTCCGCGGGAAGCCAGATCTACGATCCTTGATGTGATCCTCTCGTTGATTAGTTTTATAGCTTTCTAATCTCTCATAACTTTCATTCTCTCAAACTCAACACTCGAAAGATCTTTACACTAGCTTTTAGCGTAGTGCATTTTGTTAACAAACACAATAGCTTTCAGCTACCCTCAACCTATTCCTTCACCATGAAGATTGCTCAAGGAAAGCATGCGTTCAACAACTTCGAGAAACAGTTGCGTGACAAACCCATTCTTCCTCTCGTCGACAATGACGAGAAAACGAATCGACATACTCGTCAACCACCTGCAAACTTCGCAACCATTTGCCAAGCGCAAATCAGAAGACTCTGATAACGAGGACAATCCTCTATCATTTCAATCACTTGGATGGAGAAATCTCTACTGAGGATTAGGCCAGGATATGACTCAACGGAACCATGTTCCGATTTCTCATACCAAGTGATGAAGATATCTCACTAACTAGTAACAAGAATTGTTTCAACCGATGAACTCTACGGAAATTAATGATTGCCTAAACTGCTCAACTAGACTCTATGATCTATTTAGCATCGTTAACCTCGTCCGTGCCAACCACTCGTAAACGTCGCAAGACAAAGAGACCTCAAACCTATCGTTTATGTTAGATTTAAACAAGCGAGAAAAAGGGAAACCAAACCCGTTACACTCCGTTGCTTACTGGTACAGAGCATCGGAACTTGATTGCTCAAATCATGCTAAGAAATTACGCATGAAGGATCTGGGGGCGTCCAAACCATGTGGACTACCCCGCAGGAGAATTAAAACCAGACGAAGTGCAAAGGTGCATTCATGATTCCTGATTCCACAATAGAATTATCGAATGGGATTTACACGTCACCAAGAGACTTGGGGGCGTATGACATGATCATAGGTCGGACATTCTCTCTGACTTAGGATTTAAGTTCGATTTCACTACCATGTCAGTGGATGGGACGGCAATCTATTCCTATGAAAGATAGCGACACAATGAAGAAGAGAATTTCTTCATTCTGATCCTACTGCGTTGATGACAGTGCAGATGTCTCAAGAAGATTCTTGATGCGAAATACGAACAAGCTGACTTAAGGCAGGTTTGCCAAAGTCAAAATCAGTTGAATAAGGAAGGGCAGGAACAGCTTCATTCCTTTAACGAAGTACTCTGACCTATTCGAGACTTAGGAAAGTGGCAGATGACTACTACGAAGTAGAACTCCCCCTGACGCTAAACCTATCACGCTAGGGCTATCCTATTCCACGTGTCCATTCCAACACTCTTAAGATGGAGGTTGAACATCTCTGCGAGGGAGTACTCAAGAAGGTGAACCGTTCCGAATGGGCGGCACCAACTTTTATCATTCCCAAAAAGATGGATCTGTACTTCATCTCTGATTTCCGGGAACTAACAAAGGATTAAGCGGAAGCCTTATCCTATCCCAAAAATACAGGACATGCTCTTGAACTAGACGGATTCAAGTACGCACTAGTCTAGACCTGAACATGGGATACTATCACATTGAGCTGTCACTCACTCGAAACAACCTTACATTCACTCCCGGGGAAAGTACGATACCAGAGGTTGCCAATGGGCCTATGTAATAGTCCCGACATCTTCACAGAGAAGATGGGAAACTAATGCACGACCTAGAATACGTCCGTGCATACATTGATGATCTACTCATCTCTAACTAACGCGATCTGGCAGATCACGTTGAAAGTTGATGAAGTTCTCCGAAGGCTTCGAGAAGCGACTTAAGATCAATGCTACCAAGTCCTTCTCGCAAGAGGAGAACTTGAAACTTAGGTTACTGGATTACTCGAGAAGGGAATCCAACCATTAACCAAGAAAATAGACGCGATTAAGAAATAGCTCCTCCTACAACAGAAAAACTCCGTAGATTCATGGACTAGTGAACTACATATCGAGACATGTGGATTAGACGATCACATGTACTGGCCCACTCGCTTCGTTGACTCCAAAACAACGAAGTGAAATGGGAAGCGAACACGACAGGCCTTTAGCCAGATGAAGAAAATCATATCAGCAAAAAACCTTGCTCGCATACCCTGACTTCAACGATACATTTGTTATCACACGATGCGAGTTGATACTCAACTAGGTGCAGTAATTTCCCAGAAGGAAAACTATCGCGTTCTACAGCAGAAGCTCAACCCTGCTCAGACACGTACACCTGTACCGAAAGAACTCTTCAGTATCGTAGAAACTCTGAAAGATTCCGTAACATTCTTCTAGACAGAAGATTCGTGTACATACGGACCACAAATCTTACATGTAAGAACTTCAATACACGATCGCGTAATGCGATGGCGCCTTATTCTGGAAGAATACGGCCCTGAACTACGGTACATCAAGGGCGAACAGAACATCGTCGCTGATGCGTTGTCGAGACTTAACATCTCCAACAACGACGGTTCTTCAGAACAGATGGACGCCAGCGAGATCGCTGAACTCATGGCTGCAGACGAAGAGGACTTCCCTAGCGAGTTCCCTCTCTCGTTCCCCGAGATCGAACATCGTCAGAAAGACGACAACGATATCAAGAAGCTCCTCAGGGACAAGCCAAACGACTACAAGAAGCAATCTTTCCCCAGAGGGGATAAGTCCTACGACTTAGTAGTTAAGGACGAGAAAATCGTCGTACCTAAAACTATGCAGAAGAAGCTAGTTGAATGGTACCATGGTGTGCTGATGCATCCTGGCGAGACTCGCACGGAACTAACCATCAGCCAACACTACACCTGGAAAGGGCTGCGCAGGACTGTGCAGGCCGTATGTCAGCGTTGCCAAAGCTGCCAGATGAACAAACCCAAGACGCGTAAGCTGGGATTGATGCCTCCAAAGACTTGCGAGGAGATCCGTGACCCTTGTCAGGGGGCGAATGCAATACACGGCTCTTAGCCTTATTCGCGACTCGATCCTAGATAGGGTTTGAGTTCGACTCATGACCGAGTCTCTCGTGAATAGTCATTTGAGACAGGGTTCTCAATGACTGCGCTAGTCACACTAGGTTGATGATGAAACATCGCTCTAGATATTTAGCCAGCGTGGAGTACTTCCACGCTACTAGATCCAGGCTAGACAAACCTTCCACGCGTTCCGTTTTAGGATCGTGGAGAGACGTAGGATTACTACCACAACCTACTCTATCACACTTTATAGTCTCCCGCGGGAAGCCAGATCTACGATCCCTTGATGATGATCTCTCTCGTTGATTAGTTTTCATAGCTTTCTAATCTCTCTCATAACTTTCATTCTCTCAAACTCAAAACACTCGAAAGATCTTTACACTAGCTTTTAGCGTAGTGCACAACCAAATAGACCAAGTGTGGCCCCCACTCAGTCAGCTCTACAACCAAGAGCACATGAGCAGACTCACACAGTGGTGACCCCCAAG